AATCAAAATTTGTAAGGATAAGAAAAGAAAAAATAAATCATCAGTGACAAGTTGTGTAAGCAGAAAATCCAAAAGTTACTACAGATAAACTGTCCAAACTAATAAGTGAATTTTAACAAATCTCTGGACACACAAAATCAAATGCAGCTTTTCATATATCAATTGCAGTTAGGAAATGATATTGGTAAAGCATACTATGTAGTATAGCATCCAAAAAAACCACACAGTTGAATCCTAGGAATAAATCTCACAGCAAGTATCCAAGACCTCTACCCTCAAAACTACACAAGAGTATCCAGAGAAATTAAGACTTATATCATGTTTATTGGGTAAAAGATTTAATATTGTAAGGATGTCAGTTCTTCTGAAATTTATCTACAGATTCAGTGAAATCTCAAACAAAATCCCAGCACTTTTTGAAATGAGGATATTGCCAAGATTTTTTGACCTTTACATGGAAATATAAAGGGCCAATGCAATCTTGAAGAAGAAGGGAGATGGAGAAGCTCACCACCAGATATTAAAATCTATAAAACTAAAGTAATTAAGGCAATGTGGCATTGGCCACCAATCTCCCATCCCGGGTGCCACCCACTCTTCCTGGCACTTGCTGGTGCCACTCTCTCTCTCTCCCTTGTGGATGCTTTCTTCATTCAGAATCCAATACTATGTACTGGATTGCTCTCCTACTTGGAAACACTTCTGAAGTTCCAACACCTCACATCAGACCTCTGTCCTGCTTCCTCCCACAGAGATGTCTTCCTCTCCCTGTTCAGGTTCTGACACCCATGCCAGAATGCCCCATGTATTATTGCCCTCTTTATCCCTGTGTTGGTTAATGTTATATGTCAATGTGGCTAGGCCACAGTATCCACATATTTGGCCAAACATTATTCTAGATGTTTCTGTGAAGGTATTTTTTAGATGCGATTAATATATAAACCAGTAGACTTTGAGTAAAGTAGATTTTCTTCCATGGTGTGGGTGAGCTTCATCCTACCAGTTGAAGGCTTTAATAACAAAAGACTAAACTCTTTTTAGTTTAGACTAAACTCTTAACCAGTTTTTAGAAGAGGAAATTCTGCCAGCAAACTGTCTCTGGACTCAAACTGCAGAATAAATTCTTCTTGGGTCTCAAAATTGCTTGCCTAATATCTATGCATATTCTATTGATTTTGTTCCTCTGGAGAATCCTGACCAATAATCCTTCCTTGGATTCTGGCACCCATGCTGATCTATCCCTCTTACGCACATTATCTTAACACTGCTTGAGCTCTTGGGCTTTCACATGCTACTCAGTTCCCTGTATGTAGTTCCCCTCAATAGCTAACCGTTTCCCCCATCTACCTACATATCTACTTGCTTGGCCCCATCTAATGGCTCAGGATTGAATTATTCAGTTAGAAAAAAGACAAGACTAAAGAAAGAAAAGAGAAGGGAAGGGAACGGATGGGATGGGAAGAGAAAAGGGGAAAAACACAATTGAAAATTTGATAAATTTTGAAAAGTGAATATTATATTGGAATAACATATATTTAGAGAGTAGATGCATATTGCCAATTATATTTTCACACTAAGTTTACATATATCTAGGGTTATATTAATAAATGCTATTACAGAATATTGTGGCCTTGAAACTTATTTCATATTATCTCCTGCTCTAGATAGACACAAAGAGTTTATTTTATTGACTAAATATTTAAAATGTTTTTCAGCTTGTTCAACCGTATAGCAAACACAGGAGATCCTGGAAGTGATTTTAAAATTTATGATTTGTGTATCTAATTTTTAAATTTATTACTCAAGAGATTTGTGGATCCAACAAACAACTGTCTGAATAGATTGTTTTTATGTTTTTAACCAATGCATTTACTTTACTTCTACTTTTTCTCAATGTTACAGCCCGCTAATATATGTATATACACAACGCATATAAGACACAAATTATAGAAATGGCCCAAGTAGTTAGAAAGATCTGTTAGAAACAGTGCTATTGAAGTAAAGCCTGGTGGGTGATAAAGGCTAAGTATAAAATCTTTTTGCAATTGGCCCTAAGAAAAATTTAAACAAATGTTACTTAAAAACAAAATAAAAGAAAATCACAAGACTCCTATAGCACTGAGATGTGTATAATTCCTGTTGAAGTCAACTTCCAAATAAAATTATAATTTAACTGATCCCAATGACATGTCAAGCTTGGTACATTCAAAATTCTTTCACCAATATCATTTTTGATAAGTAAATGACAGTGACATAATTTACTTGACAGGGAGGAAAGGATGGCAGCGGGCGGGGGGTGGGGAGGAGAGAAAGAGATACATTCTTCCTATCAGTAAAGATATACCTATTGTTCTAAGTTTCTTAGAATAGGCTAATGTGTAGAAAAGATACTTAGGTGGCTTTCACATAAGTGGAAAACCTCATTGTTTTCTTAATTCTGTATGTTTCTTTTAGACATGGAAGAAAAATCACTTGCAGGCCTAGTGTAGTATACACCTAATAACTTCTAACAAGTTGACCACATTGGATATATTTGTGCACTCATTCAAAATATCAGATGTATTTGCAAGATTACACCTTTTCTTCCACCTTCATCCTTAATGGCACTTTTATTTTCCTTATCAATTGTTTAGAGACCTCCTATTAATGAAAAGATCATATTAAGAATATGGGAGATACGGCTAGGACAACATTACTAGAACTCTTTATGCATAGGTGCTAGGGGTAAATATTTGAGTTAATAAAATCAGGCCCTATTTTTTTTTTTAATTCCAGTCTTTAAAAGAAAAAAAAATTAACTGAGAAGATAGAAGGAGCTCAATAGAAACAAAATAAATGCCTTATTGCCTGATGACTTGGGCTGGAATGAGTTACTTTAGAAAAGATACATCTCAGGATGGTAGATGTGCTGAGAATTGTTTACCAAGTAGATAAGTTACTAGTTATTGGAGAATCTATTGACTAGAATCACATGAAGAAAAGGAAGAGAAATACTCTCAAATAATCCAAGCGGTCTTGAAAATTCATAGTTAATTGAAACACATTTTCTTTTATGTGAAAGGAATAAAAGTGAGACTTCCAGTTTCATTTCAGGCATGCACAGAGCAGGAAAGGTGTTGTACCCACAACCGTAAAATTAGAAAATGCAAATCATAACTTTTCTCAAACCCATCAATGAACCAATATTATTGGACAAGCAGCTAACTGGAAACCTGGAGGAGAGGCTCCTTCGGGAAGAAACAGAATTTGAATATTTACTCACTTGGGGCAGAAGCCACTCAATGCCATATAAGTTAGTAAAATGATACAGCTAGAAATGTTTAATGAGTAGCTAAAGATCAAGTGTGGGTTGGCATGTGAAGGTGGCTGACAGAAGGGGGTTTACACCTCTTGCAGGTGATTCCTCCACGAGCCCCACCAGGCAGTGTCAGAGAAGATTAGAGAGAATCTTGAAAAAGCACCAATGGTGCTGGCTAGGGGAGAACAGTAGCCACTGTTCAAATTCTACCTGAGTATCCCCTTCTTCCTCTAAGTAACAACAGCCTTTCTCTCCAGTGGGGAAGGGCAACGAAAACTGTAGCTTAGGGGTACTGATGAAAACTCCTGCAGTTGGGAAGGGAAGCAAGAAAGACAAGTTTCACTCCTGTGGGAGGGGCAAGTCACCCCCAAGACCCAGGTTCACAGAACCTGCCTCAGTCTCTCTCCTCACCCTCGCCATGGTAAAAAGCATCTGGTAAAAGTAAGAGTGGAATATAGCTGGGAGACCTGCAAGAGACTGATTGTTTCGGGGTAACAGGGCAAAGGAAGAACCAAATCTATATAGGGAGTAGAACTCTAAACACAAGATTTCCCTAGAGGAATTTGAAGCCCTTTGTACATTGAGGGTAACTATAGCAACAACAAACTTCAAACCCAGCTCTCTTTATACAAACCCCACCCTACAGTCCTACCAGAAGGAAAGATGCACTCATTTACAGATGTAGAAAATATTTACCTCAGTATTGACTGTCCTATATTACATTTATGGTCTTCAACAAAAAATTATGAGACACAACAAAACCAAACAAAACATAGTCTGAATAGACAAATCAATCTCAGAATCAAGCTCAGATACTGAACAGATTAATTAGACAAATGATTAGACAGGATTATTAAACAAATGAAGACAATTTTTAGGGGCATCTGGGTGGCTCAGTCAGTTAAGCATCCTACTCTTTATTTTGGCTCAGGTCATGATCTCAGAGTAATGAGATCAAGCCCCGCTTCTGGCTCCGTACTCCGTGTGGAGTCTGGTTGGAATTCTCTTTCCCCTTTCCCTCTGCTCCTCCCCCTGCTCACTCCCTCTCTCTTTAAAAAAAAAAAAAAAGACATTTTTAAATGAATGTGACTAAAGTAAAATTTTTGCATAAAGTTTAAATGTATAGAACCATTATTAATATCAATCCTACACAGAGACAAAAGATATTTTGGTGTTTATAATCTTGCTTTCCTGTGACCTTTTCTCTTATTCTCTGAATATTCATGTTCTTCATTTCCACTATCAAAAACCTGATTCTTAAAAAAGATTGGAATTTCACTCACACTGTAAAATGACTGATAATATGTAATCTCTTACAATTCAAAGGAGACAAAGTTTTAGTTCAAAAGAATAGACTTCTAATGACAGAATTTGGGGCAACCTCGAGTTTAACATTGGAGACTGGTTTAAAGTAAAAGATCTATCTATGGGTTAGTGGTCAGGAATGCTCCACAGTGTTGCTAAAAGTACACCGCTTGCATAATGATCTTCAAATTGGATTTCTTTTATAATTAATTCTCATTAATTTTGTTTTGGTAAAATCTCCAGAAATACAGATGTTGAGATTGAAACAAGGAAATGGGGATGGTCCCGGTGGAGAGACATGGACATTTTTATTCTATAATAGTATTTATTATAGTGTATATGTTTAAATGCCTATTTTTCCACCACTTTTGTGGGATCCCAAAGAACAAAGACTCTGTTTCATAAATGCTTTTATTTCCTGTGCTTAGCACATAGATGGCAGTCAAAAGACACTTTTTAACATTTTAAAATGTGTTTTTTCATTTTAAAATAGTGAAGACAATCTTCAAAACATCTGAAGCCCTCACTGTCTATCCAATTACCTTAATGCAGCCTTAAAATGTTTGCATGCATGTTGTTTTCAGTTCTTATTTATAACATTCATAATTTTATGACTGGAATTTTTGGAGTTCACTTATTCATTCTTTCATTCATTCATTCAAAATAATTGATAAAGCATCTGCTCTGTGTCAGCCACCAAGCTGAATTCAGGGAATAAAATAGGTAAAATGTGTTGTTTCTACCTTCCTAGAGCTTATGACTGGTGGGCAAGACCAATAGTTAACAAATAATCACAAATAAATATAGAATTACTATTTTGCTAAGTGCTATGTTGCTTCAAATATAACTGGAGGATTTTTAAGCAGTGAAGAAATCAGAGACATTGAAGGAATGGTGATTGAGCCTATATCTGAATGCTGAGAAGCAGTTAATTCAGTGGAAAAAAGAGCATTTCAGGAGGAAGAAACATCATAGTCAAAGGCCCACTGCATGAAAATGGATGGGAATATGAAGACATGGTGCAAATAGTCTTCAGGCTGTATACTCAAGTCTTTCTTCATAGCAGGAAGGCATTCTGCAACTAAATCTTTACTGCTTCTTTTCTAAATCTGATTTCCTCTTCAAAAATATCAGATTTCCTAGTTTGGTGCTTTAGTTTGTCCTCTAAATTGTCTACCTATTTCATAATTTGTTTCTTTATCTTCTTCCTCCACATTTTCAGATTTCCAAATGTAACCTCTTTATCATTGATTTGTTTTTTTGGCCATTGTCTTCTTTTAACCTTATCCAATGTGTGTTTTAATTACACTCTTGTATTGTTTTGCATCCTTGAAAACTTTCTTTATCTTACTCATATGTCTGTTGAACACCCACCCCCCTTTTGTTTCCCCCTAGGATTTGTATACCTGTTTAATAAATGCCATTGAATTAAGGATTAATATTTGTTCTGGATTCTTGGATTCTGAAGTAGATCAAATAATCTGAGGCATATGTTTTAATGTTCTTTTCCTTCACCATACATATCACATTTAAAAATATAAATTTATTCTTTTAATTTGTATCATTTTATAACATTTAATTATTTAATTTAATGTTCTTTCCTTTAAAGTGTAAGCTCCATGAGATAACATCCTTTGTTTTCTTTACTATATTTCATTTTGCCTGAAAGATATTTGATACTCAATAATTGTTGAATAGATAAATATTCAAGATGTTGCCTTTTTTTTTTTGCAATGTTTTAAAAAACAGCTTCAAATTTTTCTCTATTTTCTGAGATAAGAGCTCATCAGACTTGTAACATAGTAACCTAGCATGTTGGTGGTTTTTCCAAATCTCTGCTTGCGGAGTAATGAATCCTTTCTCAGGGCTACAGCTTGAGAATAGTTTAATATATGTAACATCTAAGCTAATTCTCAGATTCTAGCAAGCATTCATATTTTGTGACTTTGCTATACTCAATAATATCTTCTCCTATCTTGTGGCTTTCTTTTCTGTATCTCTTTATCAGGGGCACTATACAGATTTTTTTTTTTTTTTTAAGGAGATGTCCAGGCTGCATGACAAATGTTTTGAATCAGAATCTCTGGGTTGGGTGCACAACTGGTTTCTTTTAAAACAAAAAGTTTCACAGGTTATTCTAATGCCAGAAAGTGTCTTTTAACCTAATGAGTATAAAAACTACAAGTTTTAGCATTCAGTATAAAGCTGAGTTGTTATCTAACAAATACAATATTCAAATATTTGTTCTCATCCACTCTCCTCTTGTCCTATTTGTGGGGATGTGAAAGCTGTCTCTTGGTGCACCAAAAACAACACATACACACACACAAATATGCAATTGAGAAACAGCTGGTAAATTATCTCGTACAGACACCATGTCTTCCAGGGAGCAGACATCTTTTAAATGGGCTTTGCTTTCTCAAGTTAATGTCAGTTTTCTTAATCCACTTCCATGGTCCTGAAAGAAACTTAACACATTCCGTAATATGTTGTTTGACAATCATAGCTTGCAAATTCTGAATTATCTCTATTTCTCCAACAGTATTTTAATGGAAGGTTGGAAGAAGATGCATCATGGGCCTCTAGTTGAATGCAATTTCAAATTATAAATTAATAAGGTCTGTGAAAGACATGACTTAATACATGAATGACAAATGTCATCATAGTATTAAGGTTCTATCATACTAACTTCATGTTTGAGTAACATGGGCCAAACTGGCTTAAAAAAGGTATTAGGCTTCTCTCCTTATTTAGTTTATTAATTTCTCTCCTCCCATTCCCCCTCTATTTTCTAGTCAGTGGTTTTATTGAGTTATAATTACTTGAGCAAATATTTTTTCTTTTATTATATACTGACCATAGTTCTCACTTTAAATGTGTATGGATCATGTGTCTTAATCTTCACCTCAAATGCATAGCCATACCCTAAGCAATGTATACTGTCATTTCATTTATAGTCTATTTCATTATTATAAATTCATAGGTGATTTACTGTACCATCATAAGTGTGGGAGAACTGTTAGTGAAAGACCAGGAACTGCTCAAAATACCATCTTACTAAATTAATACAATGTTGGTTTACAACACAACAACCTAATTTTTTTTTCTCCCCTTACATATGTGTTTCATTGTCTGTTTTGGCAGAAGGTACAAAATATCCATCATTATTTAAGGATTCTAAGTTTGCTTCATTTGTATCTTTTCTTCCATTTTCTGATGCCTTGGTATCTTTTCCTTGATATATTTTCTTCATAGTGGAAATTAATACAACAAATAAAATAAGTGCTGAAAATCTTAAGCTCTCAGTCAAGCCCGTGAAGGTATTTCTGTGAAAAGAGAAAAAACTCAATTTTCATGTTAAAGTATTTGGAACAATTTATAGTGTTGCTCTCCAGTATGCAGAAAATCTTAAAAAAAAATGATGTTTGAAATTATACATAATAATATTAAGGTAGCAATTCTAATAATTTATTTTATTGACACAGAGGGGGATTTTAAATTATTTTAAAAGGAATATTAAGCCACAGAAACTAAGGGTGATTAATGATCTACCCAATGTTTTCCATAAAAGTAAGGTATATTTGGGATGTTTAGCTTTCTCAAAGGCAGATTAGTTCATGTGTAATGGAAACAGATTATAAAGGAAATGAATTGACTGTGAGATCACCAAACTGAATCCATACAGATAGGAGCCAAAGTTTAGTTTACGGGCTAAATACAGTCCACAACTTCTGTCATGTGGCCTACTGGAAGTTTTAATGAAACTATATTAAATTACCTAGCACACATGGTCAATTCTTGTGGTTCTTAGCTTTGGTTGCACATTAAAATCATCCAAGGAGATTTTAAAAATCCCATGCCCAGGCCACACAGCCCCTGAGCAATTAAATAAAAATTTCTGAAGATGGGACACAGAAATTTGTAGTTTTTGCTCCTCAGGTGATTATAAAGAGCAAAAAAGATTGATAACCACTGACCCAGTAGCTTAGGAAGCATCCAATGGCCTAATGACATTGTTAACTAAATGTAGAAAAGCTTTATGCAAAACAAAACAAAACAAAACAAAAAACCTTGAACAATTATTAGATTTAATTGAAGGTGAATGGAATTATATAATTTTGAGCTGTTTAGGTTTAATTTATTAAAATTACAACATAAGGTTGTGGTGTACCAAAAATAACAAAAGAAATATTTTAAAACATCAAGTATATTTGTCTCATCCTTGGGTTATGTCAAGTAGTTCTACCCCAATGTTAAATTTTCAGAATTTCCATTGAAAATAGAAAAATTACTATGCACTTCTGGTTATGTGACTGTTGCTGAGAAAACTTGAATAAACTGGGTTTAGATTTAGGATTGATATCATAATGTAGATTTCCACTCCTTGGAGTAGGAATTGATTATATTATTTGTCTTTGTTAGATAAAATTAATCAACAACTATCTGGTTACCACAAAATATTAAATCCAAAAAAATCATAAGATGACTATTTAACTTTTTGCTGTTTCTTCATTGGGGAACACACTGCTCTTTTTAAAAATTCCACTTCAGACAATCTTGAGGCAATTACTTGCAAAGTACTTTAGGCGATGAACAGAACTAACCAAAAGGAAAGTGATAAGGGCCATGAGTGAGCTTCAAAGTGTTAAGAGTTCTAAGAATGTTAGTTACTTGTAGCTGGTTGGAATGGTGCAAACTTCATGACAGAAGGTCATCTAGTTGGAATCATACAGTATATAGCTTTTTCAGACTGCTTTCCTTCATGTAGCAATGTGCATTTGAGATTCTGCCTTGTCTTTCTGTAGCTTGATAGCTCATTTCCTTTTATTGTTGAAGAGTATTCTGTTGTATGAATGTATTACAGTTTGTTTTCCATTTACCATGGAAGACCATTTTAGTTGCTTCATTTTTTTTTTGACGTTTATAAATAAAGTTGCTATAAACATTCATGTGCAGATTTTTGTGTGGGCATAAGTTTTCAACTTATTTGGGTCAACACCTAGGAGCACAATTACTTGACCATATAGCAAGCCTATGTTTAGTTTTTTCAGAAACTGTCAGACTCTTCCAAAGTGACTGAATCATTTTGCATTCCCACCAGCACTGAAAATGATTTCTTGTTGTTCCACATCCTTGCCAGCACTGGTATTGTTTATTTTTTTAAGAGCTCTTTATATATTCAGGACATTCGCCTTGTGTCTCGTTGTAAGTTACAAGTTCTTTTTCCAGTTTATCTTTTGTCTTTGAACTTTGCTTAAGTTTTGTGACACAGAGTTTTAAAAATATTTAATCATTTTTTTTATACCATGGTTTTAGGGGTTTGGGTCATACTGAGAAACACATTCCTACTTCCTAGATAATTAAATGTATTTCTGCCACAATTTTTTCTAATACTTGAAGTTTCATATTGTAAATTTGTGTGTTTAATTAATCTCCAATTAATTTTTTTAAGGTTAAGGTACCTTTGCAAGTATTTCTTTTCTAGATAACCATCCAGTTATTTCCCTATGAACAGAAAAATATAGAAACTTTTTTTTCTTTTTTTCCCATTGACCTACAACCAAAGCCCCAGCATCATTTTGTGTCTTCTTAGAGAAGCCAGAGGTCATTGAATAGTTTTTTTAGTATTAGGAGAGATTTTAGAAACAACAAAACAAATTTTGGTACAAATCCCAGATCTTTTTGTTATTAGCTATATGATTTTGAACAAGTTACTCATTCTCTTTGAGTCTTTGTTTCTTCATATTTAAGGAAAAAGGAGAAAAATATCCATCTCCTGCAGTTTCTAAGAGTATTAAAATGAGATACCATGTTGCCTGATACAATACTGAATGCAAAATTCATTAAAGGGTGGCTATAATTATTATTATACTGAAAACAGCTTTTTATCTTTTAAGAATATAGTCAAAGGAAAAATCAATTAATAAAATATATTTATGACAACTTACCCATATAATATGGAATCATATATCCTGCAAGACCCTTGTTTCCCACAGCTGCTGGTTGACCATTTCATACAAGCTCTATCAATCAGAGCCCCAAAATATATAGGAGCTGGAATTCCTCCTGCAATATGAGATGAGAAAAGGTCAATCCAAGGAGTAGGTTTCAAACATAACTGGATGATATTCCACTTTGATACATTTTAGATTAAGTAAAAGTTGAAATTCCATTGTTTTGACCTAAATTTACTCAAGAATTGAGACTATTAGGAATCTTAAAGGCTCACATCACATGTAGTAGCATAGATATCTGCTATCTCCCTCACCCCGCCAACACACATAGGGAAGAGAAGAGGGGACATTAAATGCCCATATGCTCTGTTCTTCTTATAATTACCAACTTAAGCCTAAGTGGCAAAAAAGAGAACGTTGTCAGTAAAACACAGAAGTCATGTTGGTTCATATATACTTTTCCTAGGCAAGGAGAGCTGGAAGTGTGGGGATAGAATTATAACTTCACAGAGAAAGGAAAAACCTCTCAGCTCAACTAATGCAAAGTCAGGAGAGTTTTCAACCCCATTTTTAAGAAAGCTAGCACTTCCTTCCCCAGAGAAATACAGGCCCAGCTTCACAGAATACTAGGCTCTTGGCAGGTTGTCCTTCTTCCTTGGCTCAGAGCTCCACTTCCACCCTGGTGTCATGAGAGCCCACAATCTTGCATTTTCTCTCCATTGATTGTGTGCATTTTTAATACTTCCTCGAAGCAGCGTGGTTTGTCCAAGCTAGGGCCTGTGGCTGAATTTTGTTTCTGTTAATGTTCTAATCACAATGATACCTGGGCATCTAGTGGTCTGTGCCTAACCAAATTTTTATCTGTAGCATATGATTTTTCAGAATGCAAGTCTTTTTAGAAACACATATGTTGCCTTATAGCGGAAGTACCCATCTGGTTACTGCTATTTTAATAAACTCTGAGATACACTCCTAGTTCTAAGCATTGGTAATTTGACCAAAACTTTAGAGACATGCTGGTAGAGATCTATATTCCATAGGGTAGATCTGAAGTGGTCATGATTTTACTTCGTTCTTTCTGTATTTCAGTGAATGACTTTCAATTTTTATTTTGTTATGTAAAAAATGGTAGTGATTCATATTTTAAAATTGTATTGATTCCATTTATTTCTAAGTCTCAATTTTTCTGAGAGTTAGAAATCTGAGATGACAAAAGACCGGTGTATGGGGCCAAAGATATCTGAGAAAAACTGGTACTAAGAAAATGGGTGAGAGATTTACAGCTTTGCACAAATCACAGTCACCCTTTGAAAAAATGAAAAATACAATACCACTGGTTTGACCAAACTTAATTCATTAAATGTTTTAGGTAGCCAACTTAAGTCATTACTAGAATTTTAAAACTTCAAATAATTTTCCAAATATCCTTTTCAGTTTAATATGCTCTATAGACCTCCCACAATTTATGCATGTGTTGTATTCAAGACAATTTTTTTGGGAATTGAAAGTCTACTAGTCAGTAAGTATTATTTCCAAAAAGTAGTTAGGTTTTACTGTGCCATATATTGGACATATCAAAATAGTAAGCTCACATTTAGGATGGCAAAATTCCTTTCTTTCTCTTTTATGTCACTAGAAGAATTTCCTCTAGTCTCAGTCTTATTTCAGCATCTAAGGGGGAGTCCTAGATCCCCACATTCTATTTTCATCTGCTAGCTTCTGTGGCCTAGCTTCTAGGAGAGAGGCATCTCCATTGTATCTGGAGGCAAGGAACTGCCAGACAGACAGAGCTGCAAGATTAGAGAAGGACAGAAGAGAAGGCTGGAATGACAACTAGAGTGGAATCCTGCAGCACCTCCATCTTCTTCTCTCCAAGCCCTTCATATTTCCTCCTTTACCTTTGAGGATCTGTGGCCTTCTCCCCAAATATACTTCTTGGACAACTTCTCCAATGCACTTAGCCAAAGAGTTATGCTTCTTTCTTTTGCTTGCAAGGATCCCAGGGATTGACCCCTCCCACTTCCTTTCCCTTCTGCCATCAGTGGTTGCCTCCAAGCCATGGTCAGTCTTATACCCCAATCCCTAGATGAGTGATGCTCTTTTCCTACTTCCCAGGAATAAGTATATTATTGTTAATAAGTCTTACAAAGGGGCATGCACAGGAGTTAGGTTAAAAGTTATTGTGCTAACAACAGAAATCTCTGTAGAATAAACGGCAAATGACAAGGGAAAAATGATGATGTCCTAAATCTTGTACTAATCACCTCATTTGAATATTTAGAAATAGAACTCTTACCTCTGAAGTCTACGGCCCTACTGTTTAACAACAAAAAAGCACAGTATCCTGAGCTTTCTTTCATTCAGAACACTCCCTTAGTCCAAGATGCTCAGTTCTACAGTTTAGTTCCCATTTCCTCTTGCATTTTTAACTTCTGATAAAGATTAGCTTCCCCAGCCTTAGAGAAGTGGGCAGTGGGAAGTGGGGCAGCAAAAAGTCTGCTTGTTTCATGCAATCTCAACCTGACCGGATTCCCAGGCCTTCCAAGCTGTTTTGGGCATTACACTCTTTATGTAGAAGGCTCTCCACTCTGCCTATGGGAAGTAATATTCCTAAGTCTGAAAGTAGAAAAACTTTGGACATCACCTATCTTTGTGTTAGAAAGCATAAAACAAATATTATGACTTCTTGTTCTACTTAAAGATTGACTTTAACTAGAATTAATGATCAAAGTCTCTTTTAAGTTACTTAGTTTTCCTCATTATTTTTTTATTTACCACAAAAAACAGCAATTATTTTTAATTATACATTGAAAAATTTCTTATGACTGGAAATTAATTACACCCAGTCTGTGAGCTTTGGTATGAAAATTCATATCTTAAATTTTTAATCTGTATATTTAGCATACCTAATGCTCGTATAGTTAGTGAATGGAAACCCACCGCAAGGGATTTCAGTTCAGGTTGAACAGTTCTGAAATAAGATAAAGGCAAAGGCACATTAAACATCTCCAAAATACCAAACCACGGTCAATATCAAAACATTTCTCAGTGGTATTGTTCTTCATGATCAGATGAAAACCCTCAAGTGAATGCCTGACATTATTTCAAGCTTTATTTTCAGTTGTTTTAAAAGGTGAACAGCTGAGTGATAATAATTATTATTCTCTTATTTACTCAACATTTTGAGATTTCAAGATGGTTTAACATTTTCACATTTGATCCTTTGAAATCCTATGAGTGTGTGGTCAGAACAGACTTTATTATGACTACAAAGAAACAGATCCCATGTGACCCATTCAGTTGACACAGGCCATACACTAAGGCAGATACCTTTATTGAGGTCTTGGTATGAGGACTTTTACCATCTCATTTCTGCCATTGCTACTAACAACAAAGTTCACTAATATGATCCATGAACTATGTAATATAACCCGGAGTGTCAAAAAAGATACTTGTATTCTAGTGTCTAGTGTATTTAAATGTCATTTTAAAGGGAGCAAGCATATTTGTGTCCTCTCTTAGAAATTAACTCACTCTTGCACTTAGAAATTGTTTCCATAATTCCATTTTTCTGTGTTCAATAAGATGATGACATGACCATGTCATTCTGTGATATCCCTGTGATAGCCTAATACGTATCACGTGAAATGAATTATTCAGCAGCGGTGGCAGGATGGGGAGGAGGTGACTGAGTCTCAAAAACCCTGTTTTTTTGGAAATATTTGATTAAGTGATACAAAGGTGGTGGTGGTGGTTGTTTTTTCTTGAGCTGTTTGGATGACTGTATTTGTTCATAGAAATAAGTAGATTTAGTCATTCAACAAACATTTGCTAAGTGACCCCTGGGATGTTCCATGCTAGTTCTTCTTCTTGAATAAAGAGATAAATGGTGTTTCATATTGACTGCATGACTTGGAGAAGTCATACAACCTCTCAGCACCGTTTTCATATTCCTGGGTCCCTGAGCTCTCACCCCCACATGATTTAGATAATTCTTTAATCATACCCAGTCTCCTGCTCCTTTTATATCCACTCAAACTCTTCCATTTTGTCCTGTTACCAAAAATCCTTAGATCTTATGTTCTTAGGAACCCCTTCACTTTCTTGTTCTAACAAAGCCTGGCTGCCCCCTGATGGTTCTCTTCCCATGCAACTCTTTCAAATAAGGGCTGTTTTTCTCTGTAGTCTTACTGGGTCTCAGTGTCGATGTCCTTCTTGCTCTTTTTTTTTTTTTTTTTTTAAAACACCTCCAGACCCTAGTGTCTCCTCTGAAAGATTTCTAACTCCCCTCAAGTGGTGTGTCATTGTGATATACCATTCCCTAACCTCCTGGCTATAGTATCTGTAGATACTGTAACTACAGATACTGGTATCTTGATCACCACTCCCATCATTCCTTGGGGATTTTAGTACTAGGCTGTCTGTCATTTTTTTCTAAAACTATATTTGCCACTTTTCCTAGTTATTATAATAATCCATGTAGACCATCCTCCAATGCTCTGGCCTCCAGGTTTCCTCACCTCTTCCCTCCTTTGGTCTTACCTCACCTACCCTTGGTCATGCTATAAAGTACACACTTCCCTAATTCTCAGTTTTGAGCACTCCCTCACCAGAAGCACCTCTCAACTTTTAAATTCACTCTCTCCAATAAACCAACTCCAACAAGCCTCAGCCCCACAGGGCTCTTCAGGCCCTTGACACTCCCCACTTTGTCCGAGGTAATCTCCATTTTCATGTCCTCACTTTTCTCACCATGCTCTCTCCTTATAATCATTCCTTTCATATTCCCTGGACTTTTCTGTCCTTCCCATCCTTTACTGTCCCAGGCAAGCAAAAATGCTTTCATCCAACCCCTGCCTTTTCTGCACCTATACCTAGAGAACTGCTGGCTGGAGGAAACCATTCAAATATTCTGACTAAGCTCATTTTAAGCACAAACCCTCAGGGCCTCCAGTACAATCCTACTGTATTTTACTAGTCTGTTTTCACAGTTTATTCTCCCAGCCTTTAAGATGACTAGTTTCCATTTCCTGATCTCATCTCAAACCTTTTCTTTTTTTCCTCCTCCCTCTTAGCTGATTACCTTGCTTTTTATCTAACAGAAAAAGTAGAAGCAATCAGAACAGAATTTCAATACCCTTGCATGACTAAGGCTACATGTGTATCATTTTATTTTTACCCACATAGATGACATTCCCTTCCATTACAGAGTAAACTCTGTGTACTTGTTCATATCCCTTTTAATCTTCCCTTTAATTGTTCCCCCCTCTTAACTTCACTATCAATTTCCTTCATCGCTACTGGATAATTCTCATCAGCCCACAAGCATGCTACAATATCTAGTATAAACAGAAATCTTAAGGCCACACCCCTACTAACTTACCATACCTTTTCTCTGCTTCTTTTTATAACACTACTAATATAAAGAATTTTTCCTACTGGGTATCTGCACTTCCCTTTCTTGCATTTTCTCTTGCATCCTTTGCAAAATAGCCTTTCTTTCCCCCCATCTTTACACATTATTTTTGTTAAGGCCAGCGGTGACCAGCACATAATGAAATCCGGTGATGTCTTCCTAACTCTTAACTTCTATGACCTACCCTCTTGGTTTTTCTCCAACCTCATGGGACCTCCTTCTCAGTTTTCTTCAACGGATTCTCATCCTCCTCTTGATTTCTGGAGTTGGAATGCCTGGATCCTGGTTCTAGAATCTTGTTTCTATCTGTACTCAGTCCTTAGAAGATCTCAAAAGTGCCATGGATCCAAAATTTATGTCTCCAGCTCTAATATTTCTCCAATAGGCATCTCAGATTTACAGGGATAGAACAAAGTTTTCTCCACTTTCTCCAAACTACCCTTCCTTAGTCTTCACTACTTGGTTCAGCAGTACCACCATCTTCTCAAAGCTGGGCTAGAACCTTGGGATCATCCTTAAACTTTTTTTCTTACATGCCACATTCAATCTATCAGCAAATCCTATTGACGTTGCCTTAAAAAGAGAACAAAGACTGAGACTCATAACACTTTCTATTTCCTTTACCATCACCATCCTCAAACTCCCATCCTGTGAAGAACTATCATAGCCTTCTGTTCTCCCTGTTTCCATTCTTGCAGCCCAAAAACTTGTTCTCCACTCAAAAGCCAGAGTGATCTTCTAATTGGATAAGTCAGTTGTATAATTCCAATGCTCAAATGTCTCTGCTGGCTTCTCTATACAATTAGAATAAACTCCAAAGTTGTTACCGTGCCCCACAGGGTGTACATTTTCTGGACCATGCTCTTCACCTGTCCCCATATCAGCGTAGCTTGTACATTCACTTTTTTTCAGGTCTCTGATCAAATGACTTCCAATGCACAACATCTGAATTAGTACCATTTGCTTGCCCCCCTCTTATATTCTTAAGCTGATTTATTTTTCTTCCTAATGCTTAACACTTCTACTTTATACATTTACTTGCTTATTTATTTATTGTTCCTGCTCTTATGCCCATCCAGTCCCCCATCCCTCACTGCCCCGGTAGCTAGTGGAAGCAGGACCTTTATCACTTTGTTCACAGTTCTGTCCTTAGCACCTATAATTGTGCCTGACACACAAAATGAATAGACTGAATGAGTGAATATCATCACTCCTGCTTAGTCTAATTTTAATAACAGCCTTATGATATAAGCATTGGAAAATCATTAATAGACTGAGGTTTATATTTTTATTCTACAGTCCGTTTCACGAAAGTTTTCTTTCAATAAAATCAAAGGCTGGTGAGAGATCAGTAAATGTTTTTGCCAAATGGTAATGTTTACCTTAACCATATAAATGACATTAATGATGAAACAATGATCTCTAAAAACCTCTTTCACCCTGCAAAAGATTTTAAATTAAAAAGCTAAGACTTTTTGAGATAAAGCTAATACTTTTTTGAGGGAGGATTTTTCTGATAGTTAATGAAGCTGTACTTTGGCAATTATGTAAGACCTCTTTTTGAGTAGACAACATTTTATATTAAGGTGGAAATATAGCCGTAGAATAAATTAGGAAAAATAATTTAACAAGATTTTGGGTCAGAGTAGAATTAAACAACTGTAGACTCAGTTTACTCATGTATACTCATTTTAACAGAGCTTAACCCATTTGTTTTCTTTCCCATCCATGTCATGCTGTTGGCTGACGGTGAACTTATAGTCAAGAACCTAGGTCTTAAAAATATAATTTAGATGTTAACCTAGGCCAGCATATTTACACATGCATGTCTTTAAGACCTGCCTGCAAGTTTTTGTATGTTTTCGGTTTTAGGTAACTGAATAATTAACTTCACCAACAAGGCTTGTGTAATCTGCTCCCTTCCTAACTCTCCAGTCTTATCTTATGTCATAGCCCTCTCACTCAGTATGTTCCAACCAGCCAGTTTCTTTTCACTTCTCAAACACTCCAGCTCTTTCTGGCCTTGATGCATCAGTACCTAGACCCTTTTTCTGTACAGTTCTTCATTTTGCTAATGGTAACTTCTTCTCTAGACTTTTAGATTAAATGTGGATTTTTTTTTTTGAGAAGTCTCTGAGTCCTCTTCCTCACAGCTCCTCACCTGAATCCTAAATTAGGTTTTCCTCTTTATTCTCTTTAATATCACTCTTTTTCCTTACTAGTACTAATGACAATTTGTAATTATGTGTTTATTTTAGTTCTATTTTTCTTACATCAGTCTTTCCTGTCATACTCTAAACTGTATGAGAACAGGTACTGTATCTGTTTTATTCACCGGAGTATTCTTCAAGCATGGTTTAAGTTTGTCTAATCAGTGAAGAAAGGAATGAATTCTGCTCATGTTATTTTTTTCTTGTCTATGAGGATATTTGAGAGACCAGGTCAAAGCTATTTTGAGGGCATATTAAAAGCTTTAGAATTTTATAGACTGGTTATATTATACAGTCTGGTTCCTAAATGTTTTCTTTCAATGAAATCAATAGTTGATTCACTCTGACAGGCCCATCCTCGTATAAGGCATCTCAAAATTAGAAGTTCTTATAGAATCACAACAGAGATTTTTTTTTTCACAATTGAAGCAATTATCAATCAGTCTATGTCACAAAATTCTTAGTAAGAGGAGAAAGTATGAAATTTTATCATTAATTATGACATTGTGGTATCACAATAATCCTAAGTAAATGCATTCCTAGAAAATTAAAATGTAACAAAATACAAATTTGTGTTCCAAATATGTTATGGAAAATATGTACATTATTAGGTATGTTTATAGTCTAATATACATAAAAATGCTTTTTAAAAAGTCATACTTACTTAAAAACCAGCAAGACAGTTGGGGTGCTTCCCAATGAAGAGAAAAAATAATTCAAGACTTGCACCACTGAATAAATATAAAATTTTTTTGTACATTGACTATCTCTTGGGCAATCACCCAAAGTCACCGAATTATTTTTGTTCTGGACACCAGTTACTTCCACACAACTACAGTTATAAAACACCTAAAAAATAGTTTTTGAAATATTGCAGAATATATTTAGAAGATATGACTGGACTATGAATACATTTCATTATATTTAAAGAAGTCTCATCCATTCAAGCTAAAATATTTACAATGTTTGAAGAAAGCATTCTGAAAATACAGTTGTTTAACAGTTGAAAGGCAAAATAGTTTCCTGGATTCCTCTCTAGACAAAAAAATGCAATTCACTATTAACATTTAATTTATTCCTAAATTAAAAATTAGGAAAGGATAGAAAAAATTAATGTTTGAAACTCTGTATATAATTTCTCATTAATATAAATTCTTTTTAATAATTTTCTCCCACTCATTTTTACTTTCTATAAAAAAATCTAGTTACTCTTTTTAACAGTCTTACTAAGTGTCAGGAACAGGAAGGGAAGGGAAGGATTACTCAGAGAATCCAGAAAATATAGTTTTGTGGGGGGCAAAACTGGCACTAGAGCTACTCATTAGAATGGGGCAGAGTCTAGGGGAATAGGACCTAGGCAGGGGTACTAGAATCCTACTTTGACCCACAAACACAACATCCAAGAGCATAATGACAGATTATAAGATATATGATGTTATTACCAGAGAGGTTCAACACAACAGAATACCCTAATGGGTAGACCACAGAAGGGGAAAACTTAGGAACAAATGATTTTAGAGATTTAATTTGGCAAGCAGTTTACTTAGATAGGTGGTTTTAATAAAATCTGTTTTGAGTCTAGGCTAAACTAAGGTTTAAGGGAAACTTAAACCTATTAGTACTTTATTTACTGAAGGAAGTAATTTGAATCCATACTTACCTGATAATCAAACTTTACTTTTTAACTAGGAACAATATGGATGAATCCTTTATATATCAAGCCTATTGACCAATAAACCCAAGAACATTATTTTGAGCAATTAAGAAGGGATGATTTATTGCTAAGGATTTGGTAAAAGAACTCCATAGTGGTCCTCAAATGGTATAGTCATTTCCAGTATTCAGAAAAATGTACACAGAGCTCTCTTAGGATTCTAATATCATGTCTCCTCCAGGCCTTCACTAATGGGCCAACTGGGACCATGGATTAAATGGGGCACTATCAGTGAAAGGCACTAGACCCATGAATATGAGATATGGGTTTTTAAGTACGGTCCTTGGGTCACATTTCTGCAAATTTATGGCCTGGCTTCAAAGAATCCAGGTGCTTTATTCTTCAAAGTTCTCAGTGCCCTTCAACAATACAATTAGTAGGATTATGGACCAGAAAAAGATGTTAAAGTTTGAAAATCAAAGACAGAACTGTGTGGTAGAGAGCAATGATCATAGCTGATTATACTGCTAATGTTGGTGATAGGAAAATGGCTCAGGATATGGCTCCCCAACTTTGTGAGATATTCACTAGATTGGAAGTGAAATAGGGAACATGATACCTGATCCCGAGTTCATGATACCTGAAATAAACTCAGGGAATTAGGAAGAACCCATAGTTTGCATGGAAGGGAATATTTTGAGTGAAGAAAGAAATGGCATTTCTATGGAAAATGTTAGGAACAGATAGGCAAAAGACGAAGTTATCCTGGATAGAAGTTCTATCCTTGGGGAAATCAAAGTTGGAAGCCAAGAATTGGGACAGTCAAGTGAGCATGAAGCCTTGATTAATTTTCTGGAAAGTTAAAAATGTAGTGAGCCTAAAGATAAACTTGTCAGAATCTATATGCAAAATTGCATTTAGATTATTGTCCTGGAAACGAAGGGAGTGCTGACAAGTGGTTGGATCAGGACTTTCCCCTAATTTCTAAAGGAGTAAGTTATCTCTAATTTAATCTAATTAGTAAAATGCAGCGCTTCCTAAGGATTCTAAATGCATTTAAATTCCAGAAGGTCATGTTCTCATAAACTCAAGGAGGAAAAGTGGGAGTAATCTCAAATGAGATTTAAGCAACAGAAAAACCTATTTGTGTTTCAAGCAGGATTTTATGTGAGGCTTTCATTTACACAACTTCACAGCCATCACAATGACAGAGAATATTAGGAGTCTTTTTCTATTCTCTTTTTACTAGAGACCTTACTTATAGAAAGATTTGATAAGTAATTGTTAAATCAAATCTGCAATGTTGATCAAGGAGAGAAGAGAAAATAAAAACGAATACTCACCATAGACTTTTTATTGCCATTTGAAGATTTGCATCCTGCTAGACAAGGTGACATGTAAGTTATTCCATTGTCTCCACAGACTGGTTCCCAGTGATTTTGATCACAATTGCAGTCTGAGTTGCAATAAGAAAGTGGTACGTTTATATGAGATGCCACTGGATTATTTCTGGAAATATAAGGTAGACACATATCAAAAAGAGAGAGAGAGAGAAGGAGGGAAGAGAGGAGAAAAGAAAAAGAGAGGGAGGATAGGAAAGGGAAGCCAAGAGAAAGGAGGAAAAGTGGGAGGCCATTAGGAAAGGGGAGAGAAGAAGAGAGAGGGATGAGGGGAGGAGAGAAATAAGGAAAACAGTTGGGTTTTAATAAGACAGCAAAATTTGATGAGTGATGTTGTCAATGGCATTTTTTAATATAGTGTTTATTAACTTAACACCTCCCATCTTTACCCAGACATAAAGAAAGAGGATCCATAAGACTTATATAAGAGGTCCTTGTGATCTACCAAGAAATTACTCATTAAACAAGTCACTTCATTTTTCTGAGACTCAGTTTCTCTTCAATAAGGTGATAGACTAAAGTTCTTTCCAGCTTACTGTAAAGTCCCATGAATCTGTGTTATTTAGTTTGACTTTTTAAATCTATATTTCAACTACATAAGAATTTCAGAACCCCTAAGGATCAATTTTTTTTTAAATCAAGAATAATAAAATCAGTTGAGAAAGATTAGAAAAACTCCATACACTTTTTAAATGAAATGACAACATACTTTATAATGATTGACTGCAAAACATGGATATATTTGTAAAATATAACCTTATAATATGGCTAAAATTAAAAAATGGATTATTTGTATAATTAATTTTCTGCTTATAGATTATTAAAATTATTCTTTTGTTTTTTGTAAAAATCTTGATAATAATTGAGAATTGATAAATTACATTTGAATAAGGAAGTAATTTACATGAAGAAGTAGATTCAGAAATTCAGAAATTCTATTACCAATAATTTTACTAAAATGCATCTAATACCTAATTCTGCTTGGGAACATACAACTGGGAGAGGTTAAACATAATGATTAATGACCAAGTCCAGACATTGCCATCAGATACTCCTGTGCTCACATTAGTTCTGCCACTTCAGAGTGTTGTGACTACTCTTCCTAAAATCAGCTCTGCCATTTGTAAGTCATAGATAATAACATCAACTGCATAGGGCTATTGGGGGAAAAAATTCATATGGCAGTTCTCAAAATTTTGTTCTCAGTAGCCCTTCATACTCTTAAAAGTATTGGGGATCTCAAACATTTTTTGTCCAAGTGGGTTATATATATTGACATTGATAGCTATATAATCAGAAATTAATACTAAGAAATTTTAATACATGGGGTGCCTGGGTGGTGCAATCATTTAAGTGTCTGACTCTTGATTTCAGTTCAGGTCATGATCTCAGGGTTGTGAGATTGAGCCCCATGTTGGGCTCCGAGCTCAGGGGGAGTCTGCTTGGGATTATCTCTCTCCCTCTGCTCCCCCCACCTCACTCATGCTGTCTCAAAAAAAATTTTTTTTAATACATGAGAAGACACAAACACACATCATTAGCCATCAGACTGATGTTATCATCACATTATTGTAGCCTTAGAAAATATCGCGATACACTCACGAGAAAATAAGAATGAAAAGGCAAATACTATCCTGGTATTATTATAAAAATAGCTTAGAATGTGCTGAGCCTTCAATAAGGTCTCAGGGACCCCTATAGACCCTCAGATCACATTCTGAGAACCTCTGTACTAATTTATACTTTAAAAACTTACTCCTGTTACTAACACTTCATAAATGCTAAATACAACGATTCTGTAATTTGCTATCATTAAACTATGAGTTTCATGAAGGCAGTGATCTATCTCATAAATCTTTTTGAACTTTAAGTAGCACTCAGTAAAATTTTACTGAATGGAGAGAATCCTATACAACTCCAGCTGCTTTCTTTTGAATAGATGGCACAGTTATTATACTTGTTTTATGGAACTGGCTCTAAAGCCACTCTAAAGCATGTCTGACAACTTGGGAGCCCTTGGAACTACTGATGTGATCTTTGGAGTCATTGTGTGACTTCAGATAAGTCACAGTTCCCCTGGTTCTCAACTAATAAATGAAGAGGAAAAAAGGGGTTTGGGCTTCATGATCTTTAAGGTGCTTTTACCCCAAAAGTTCAATGTTCTAAGTATTCTGTATTTACTGGAGTGGATAATGGTGGATAGGAGTAATTACCAACAGTCAGGATTAGGAGAAAGCTGAGAGATAATTCAAGACTAGGTTGACAGGTCTCCAAAATAGGATGGTGTTTAGGTAAAGAAATGTGGGGAAAATTGACGAGTTCAAACTGACATCTCAAAGGATCCAGAGTATAAATGCTCAGAGCCAACAATAAGGAGCACTAGGTATCATAGTTATTCAACTGTAATCCAAGGATCTTTCCTGGTTGTCTGAATGTGAACCTTCCTAAGCTTAAATTATTGGCTATATTCAAGAGATGATAAGAAATCTGTACCAGAATCCTGCCCCTAATTTGGGGTAGAACTACAGTACTAGGAATACTTCACAATACTTGATAATAATACAGAGTAAAGGTTTTCTATGGTCTAACATACAATTATATATAGGATATTTATTAACTCTACTGCTAATAACAATATTAACAGAATAAATAGCATTAGCTTGCAGAAAAGGAGAATTCAGTACAATATAAGAAGTGTTTTCTTATAAAGGTACTTGTTAACCATTAAAATTAATGGCAGATAAAAATTGCTCAGTCACTTTTGGGAAATGTTATATTCCTCTTATGAAGCATCCAAAATTGTAGCAATCAAAAAAAAAAAAAAGACTAAAAGTTTTGGAGTCTAAACCCCCCAATTAAAGTCAGAATCTTAACATTGCTAGTCAGGTAATCTGTGTATCTCTGTAAGCCCTACTTTCCCTATCTATAAAATGGGGGTAAAAGTACCTGTCTGTCATTGTAGGCACCCCATAAAGGATAACTATTATTATTACAACTTACATAGGTTTTCTTTTAGGAATAAAAGGAGAATTTTTTGAGATCTTAGGAAGTAGATGATTTAAGATTTTGTAAATTGAAATTTCAATTAAAAGAAAGTTTAGCTAAGATTGCTATATGCCCTGTTTTCCTTATAGTCTTTTACATTTGATAGTTCATACATTTTGTAACTAATATATTGATATATACAAACCCATCATAGGTCAAAGTTAGGCCAGCAACTGATCTGTTTTCACAAATTAATGCAAAATTTAATAGTTGAAATATGAAGGCCAATACATTGGTATAAAATGATAATTTGGCCATTCCAAGCAAGGTAAGTTTGAATTTTTTAACGATATATCCTCCTATAAATATTCCAGTTGCAACAGTTGGTAAGGTTAAGCTTCCTAGAAATAAGGAAGAGAAAAAAATTGTGATTATATAAATATGGTTATTCTGAAATATCTTTATAAAGGAAACACAGAATGCATCAACTAAATTCATCCCATCTTATTCCTTAAGTAGCAAGCTAACAGCCCTGGATGGAGGGAGGAAACCAGTGTACCACATGGGAGAAATGGAAATAATTTCTTGATGCCAGTGCTGAGGATTTGGGTTCCCCAATAGCAGAAGTCAGTGACTGAGGATATTTGAATGTTTCAATCGACGGTTTTTATGAGGGACTTTCTTTTTCTGGAAAACAATAAAATATCATCTTCCTGCCTATAAGGCTTGCATCCTACCATCTAAAATCCTTTACACACTGAACACTACATCAAAAACGAATGATGTACTATATGTTGGCTAACTGAACATAGTAAAAAAAAAAAGAATAAAAAAAATAAAATCCTTTACATTTCCTCAAAATGAAGAGTTCTAATCCTTAAAAACTCATTCCAAATTTGCCCATCACTTTAAAATTAACTACTAGATTTAATATCTCTTTTTTATCCAAACATACCTATGCCCTGTGATGATAAACAGGCTTAAATATGGTATTAAAAATGATTGACCCCTGGTAAAATTTTCACTGTCCTACAAGAGTTATTAAAGGTAAAGATCCCTCTAACAACAACAACAAATTCAGGCTGGGAACCTGATTGGAAGTCAAACTTGACTCTCATAGTTTAAATTTTTATCTTAAGCTCAATAAAAGTATCTAACAGAATTATTATTTTCTTAACTTATGACCTACTCACATATCACTTGATAAATTCAGTTTAATTTATCAAATATTTACTGAGTTTCTACAATGTGTTGAGCACTGTACAGGGTAATGTACTGCCCTTAAGAATCTCATATTATACTGGGGGTGAGGGAAGAATGATATAAGAAAACCATTTCTTCATAAGCAAGATTTAATATATCATTGGAAATAGATAATATAACAAAGTAACTCCTAAAATATGATACTTGTGGGGGGCGCCTGGGTGGCTCAGTTGTTAAGTGTCTGCCTTTGGCTCAGGTCACGATCCCAGGGTCCTGTGATCAAACCCCACATCCGGCTCTCTGCTCAGCAGGAAGCCTGCTTCCCCCTCTCCCACTACCCCTGCTTGTGTTCCTGCCCTCGCTATCTCTCTCTGTGTCAAATAAATAAATAAAATCTTTAAAAATAAATAAATAAAATAAAATATGACACTTGTCTGAATTACATAGACATCAATGATGTGTTTAAGTCGATTTTTCTTTTGTCCTATTTTTTTGTAAGTAGCTGAGTCCTGATTCAAAGTGCATGAATTATGAAATCATAATGATTAAATTACAAAAGGATTTGTCTCAGGATCTCAACATTATAAAATCCAGTTATGCAGATACTATATCTAAATGTTCCATTCGCACACAACTTTCTTTTAGAAATTCATCTTCTCAAAAATAACATGAGATGCAACCTCAAATGCAGAGCAATGATGATATTATGAGATCAACAAATTTGATAAAACTTGCAAGAGAACAATTGGAAATTATATTTACTAAAATATAAAATTGCCTTCACAACAAAATGTCACTTGAAACTCAATTACTTGGTAGTTTATGGCTTATCAAACAAATATAAATAATGTGTCTTACCAAGCAAAATGTTAGCCTCAGATGTTGAGTAACCATACTGTTGCTCTATGTATTTGGAGACATAAGTAATAACACCAATATGGCTACTGGCTAGCATTAATGACAAACACTGTAATATAACATATAGGGGATTGGTAAGGATGCATTTCAAGGACTGGAAAAAACCTATAAAAATATAAAAATAAGATATTATAATACAGCTTAAATGTATGTTAATATCTTTATTTTATAAATGTAATAAAAGTTATAGAAGACTGAAAATTACCTAAACATATAACACAGAAAGTCAGAGTACCTACAATCCTACTGTCAACAGTTTTTTATATTTTTTCCTTCATTTTTCCATATGTACATTAGTATCTACTCAGTTTATTTTACTGCAAAATGAAATCATACATACATGCTGTTTTGCAACTTGCTCAGTTCACTTCGTATTTGGTTATTCTTATCACTCTACCATACAACTACATATATCATTAATTCATTAATTCATTCATTCAACAAATATTTGGTTTTCAACTGGGTCCCAGGCAATATGCTAGGTGCTCAAGAAACCAAAGTGAATAGACATGCAATGTCTCTTATTTGTTAGCACTTAATATTAATTGTTATGCTAATAATAAAATTATTAAGTAAAAATTTACCTTGAAGACAGTATAATCCAAAGTTCACAGAAATGAGAAGACTAAAGTTAAAAAAATTATAAAGTTTAATTTAGTACCAGGACTCAGATCTGTTTCCTGGTAGACTTTCTACTATAAAATACTGTATCAGCAAATCTGGCAGTATTATAAATCACTTTTCTTATGGTGCAAGGAAAGGAGGAGAATAATAATGTGTCTCAGGTGACATTATGACAATAATAGTACAACAACTTGTGCCTACAAACAGGTGTGTAAAAAATTCATAACTTCTGTTTGTGGCAAGAATTTTGTGATCTGGGTCTATAATGAGAAGGTTAACTAACTGTAATGGAAGTTAAAAGTGGAAGGAATTTCTTAGAAAAAATAGGAGTAAGTATCTGAGTCTAGCAAGACGGAACCAGATGTGATTATTTAGAGAGGGATGACATGGACTTTGAAATATCTCTCTCTATAGATCTCTAAAGGTTTCCATCAGATATGGTCAGAACTAAGCTTTCTATCCAATGGCAACTAAGAAAGAGTTTCATCTACTTTCACTGAAATTAATAATTCCAAATTGATATAAATGTGAATACTTACCACTAATATTTTCACTAACATTTTGCCCATGGTTGGTCACGTCAGCCATGTGAGTCCTTTCCTCATTTGTTTTGAGCAAATCCAAAGATGTTTCATTCTGTGATTTATCCAGATTTTTGGGCAGGAAAAAGAACGGTATGGAAGACATAATAGATAACATTCCAGCCACAAGGAAACCAAGCCACCAAGCACCAACCCAGCGAGAGTCCTTAGGAGTTATTCTGATATTGCCTAGAATGAAGAATTAGAAGCAGTCAAAAAATCATTTTGAAATGCAATAAATTTTGAGCAATAATAATAATGATTGCTGTCCTTCATAGATGAAGAAAGTAAACTATATTACATCAATTCTGAGATGCTATTTTTTTATTTTAATCACACTTCATCACACAAATAGCAAAGACTATTGAAAAAGTGAATTCTTTTTTTAATTAATTAATTTTTATTATGTTATGTTAATCACCATACATTACATCATTAGTTTTTGATGTGGTGTTCCATGATTCATTATTTGCATATAACACCCAGTGCTCCATGCAGAATGTGCCCTCTTTAATACCCATCACCAGGCTAACCCACCCTCCCACCTCCCTCCCCTCTAGAACCCTCAGTTTGTTTTTCAGAGTCCATCGTCTC